AAGAATAATATTCTCAGGACCTGATTATTACAAAATAATATAATGTTGCATGTTATTTGTTTATTTAAAAAATATTCATATACCAACTACCATTTTGCTTTCTTTGAGGTGTTTTATCACTATGAAATGAAGCACAGAATAACTTAGAATCATATTAAAGGGAAGGAGTAAAGAGATAAGGAAACAATAAAAACAAACTGCACACACACACACACACACACACACACACACACTCTCTCTCTCACAGAACGGTACCCAACTGTACTTTTCCTTGTTTCTGAGGATGGTGCCATGGTGAAAGTGCTCATGGTGTAACTTTAATTAGCGTTCAGAGCTGTAAAATACATCAGTGGTCCTCCGAATATGTACCTGAAATTATATTTAAAGGTAAAAGATATACATTAAGGTACAAAACCCCAGTGTCAAGGAAAAGTACAGTTTGGTTTTTGACCATATGACTAATTTACTCATGAAAGTAATTTGATTCGGTAACGGATCTGAGGACTGAGAGACAGAAGATCCTTGACCGCTTAGCTCTGTACTTAGACTGGATCCTGTCTCAAATGTAAGTCACTTTGCATACACAGATCCGTCAAATGAATAAATGTAAATGTAAACCTGTCCAGAATATTTTTTACAAAAATGTAAAAATGTCCAGTTTCAGCACCACGGTCAGTTCCATCGTTTCCTACTTATTAAGGTATAGGCTACTGCTTCATAAAACACATGTAGCTTGATATTTATATTTCTATTTATTCGTTTGCCAGCTCTATTCAGCCACAGTTAAGACACAAGGGCATTGCTTGATCAAGGGCCCAGTGGTGGCTTTCTGATAATTCTGGGATTTTAACTCACCATCTCTTTAACCAGTAACCAGTAAGCTACTAGTACAATATGAGTAACAACAGAAAACATGAAAAAAAAAAAAAAAACACTACAGGAAATAAACTAGGAATGTTAGCAATGGTTGGGACATTCCATGATGGATTTAATTATAAGTTTTATTATCAGTATACAGATATACAGGGTGGCACGACAGCCTGTTGTTTCCACCTCACAGCTCCAGGGTTCCTGGTTTAATCCTGAGTTTGGGTTATTGTCTATTCCTTGTGTCTCCGTGGGTTTCCTCGGGGTTCTCTGGTTTTCTCCCACCTCCCAAAACATGCCAGTAGGTGGCCTGTCTACTCGAAATTGCCCCTAGGTGTGAATGAGTGTGTGAATGTGTGCTTGCTGCCTTGTAATGGATCCAGGGTTGTAACGATTCGAAATTCTGAAGACCATTCAAACAGCCGCTGAAGTATAAAAAACCTGCAACATTCCTGAAAATTCCGCTACACGCCGTATCCTCTTTAAAGAGCAAGAGTCAGTGAAAGTAAGAGCACTTAGTAAACTAATACCCGAGCCTGTGCCAGCTGTCCTGCCTCATAGATATCGTTTGACACTAAATAATAGATAGCAGTTTAGCGCCCTACAGTGAAAGCAGGCCTGACCAGGGTTGCCTGGCAACAGTTTTTCATATTTATTGCCTGTCTTGCATATTTCATTGCTTCTCGTCTGGTGGAGGTATAATGTTCCACTTGGTGGAACAATAAAGACAATCTGTTTAAGTAATAATTCGACATAGAGAGTAATAAATAATGTGATAGAACATAGCAAAGCATTTTTATTTAATAGCTGGGAACATTTTATGCTGAGCTGTGATTTTGTTGTCAGGTTTATGTTCTAGAGGCCCGTTCTTTGGTCTTATTTTCTGTCTGGCTGTGTACATTTTACGGTCTATCTCAGAACAAATTCATACCTGAGGTGGATCTCAGAAAGGCTGTGCTCTCTGAACGAGGCAGCGATTTATCACAGGCATCACAACGTGGTATCTTTTCAATATAGTCCTTTCACTTGGATATGCGCTGGGTTTTATGGTAACCACCAGGTGCCTGATGGGAAAAATCTCCTGCTCGTCTGTTTTAGTTAAAACTTTTCCACTAAAAACAGACAAACAATAGCATTTTTTTTTTAGATACATCGGTTTGTGGCTTTTTACCTGAAGGGCCTGGTGGATACTGTAAAACCCAGTATATACATTTACTCCAGTTTCTAATTTTTTAAAAAGTTTTAAGCACTTTCTAATTAGCATTACAATTTAAATTATTTGTAAAGTGTTAAATTTGACATCTCTTTGTAAGGCTATTTATTTATTTATTTATTAATTACCAGAAAAGTGCCATTTTTGATCGATAATTTTCCATAATAAATATAGTTGATGATGTTGATGTTAACTATATACTTGTCTCATGTTAGCTAGGTCAAACATACATACATCAATAGATTTTATTCCTATTTGTATTACTGAACTCAGAACTTCTCCATTTGCCTTGACAGAACTCGAGTCGAGACGAGAGCACCAGCACTCAGATTACTAATGTGAGATTGAATGAGTGGGCATGGCTTGCACGGGTGTTAGTTAATAATATCGCAACTGTCAATCATTCCAGATTCATGTCAGTTGGCTGCCGTTTTTATTGGGGGAAGAAAAAGACTAATTTGGCGTATTTGGAGTGAAGACTCCTAGCAGCACGGAGAATATATGTAAAACTCCAACCAAGACAGCAATCAGAGCCCAAACCCCAGGATGAAACCACAGACCTCTGAGATAACAACGCTAATTGGTATGCCAATGTGCCAACCCCAGCAGTTTATCCCACAGGCACTGGGAACCATTGCAGGGCATTAGTCATGAACAGTATGTGGAAACTCTGAGTAACTAGCAGTGGAGGTCCACTGTGCAGTCTGGTGCAGGCGAGTTCAAATCCCAGGACTGCTCACTGTATTGTGTTGCTTTGAATAAAAAATGAATACATATGAATGAATATACATGTGGCATCTGTCTTTGTGAAACATTCTAGACCTACGAAATGGTGACCGGTCTGTTTTTCCATCATACAGCCACCTGTATGGTCATAGGCTGTATGATATACCCAGACGGCTGGGACTCGGAGGAGGTGAAGCGCATGTGTGGCCAGCGCACAGATAAGTACACGCTGGGGAACTGCACGGTGCGCTGGGCGTACATCCTGGCCATCATCAGCATCATGGACTCCCTCGTCCTCTCCTTCCTGGCCTTTGTACTGGGCAACCGACAGGACAAACTGCTGCCAGAGGACTTCCATGTGGGAGAGAACACAGGTAAGATGACAAGCTATTTCTCTACATACACACATTTACAAGGGAAAAAAGGTTAAATAGATCTAAAAGTTCTATTTAGAACCCTATGAGTTCTGTTTAGTAACGAAGAATCCTTTAGTATCCAAAAAAACCCTTAAGGAAACCTTTTTTCAAAGAGTGTATTATAGGAAATAGACAAAAACCTCCTATTCCGTATTTGTACCACAGTGCTGTTGAATTCTCAATTCTGATTGGTCAGAAGGTGTTGATTAATTTTCTATAACAGCAGCTGACAGTAGTTCAATTTAAAATTCAATTCAATTTAGTAGTTCAAGGTTAATATTGATCAGCTCGTTCTAATATGTTTTTATTTCTGTTGTAACAATTTACACAGGCACTTGTATGGCACATAAGCAGATACAAATAATTTGTAATTGTTTATACGATGTGGTGATGAGATATACATGACGTTTTCTGTGAGATGTTTATGTAGCAAACTAACTTGTTTCTAGTTAAATGTAACTATAAATGGATAAAAAAAAAGTGTAATGAGCCCTATTTAATAAATTAATAAAATGTAGTGGAAATATAATTATTATCTAATAAAGAGAGGAAAAAGGACAAGCTTTTATGTTAATCAGTGAGATTCACAAAAGCCTCCCACGTTTTCTACTGTATCTTCTAAAAAGCAAGCTCAAGCCAAAGAAAACGACCTTCACTTTGAAAAAAACGTCAGTTGATCTTGTTTCTAAGCAACGCAACATTAAAATAGACAGTTGGGTAACTTTTGTTTCTTCTCTCGAGTCAGGCGAATCCCACGTGACAGCAGTGTGTTGAAAGCACGACTCTGCTGAGGTTAAGGGTCTTGGTGAAGTGACAGGTTTTTCTAGACTGTCAGATTGTGAGGCTGATACACAACTGTGTCTTTCAATTTCAGAAGAAGCATGAAGCCTCTGATGTCCTCCTCTATTTATGGAACTGCATCAGCCAAAACACCTCTGGCCATATTCTACATCTGGATTTTCTTCCACTACTATTAAGCGAAGGACTTTTAATGTTTTAATGACATACCACTTTGGTACTGTACAGTCTTTATCCTTTATCTGATCCACATAAAAAATGGTCTATATGCATCTTGTTATAATAAAAAAATAAAATAAATAAAATCAGGGCAAGGTTAGCCACTGAAAATCAAACAATTTTAATTAAATAATTAAATATTATTAAAAATATTAATTAAATTAAATATTGATTGTAATATATATATATATATATAATTTATAAATATGAAAATCCCAAAGAACATTCTTTTGTACAGCTAATAAAACTTATGTTTCATGTATATTTTTTTTAGCCCATAATTACATTTGGTTACACTAACTGTGGAGGACTGTGTTATAGAAGCGTACGTTTTACCATTTGTATATGTCATCAAAAGTGTCTGGTCTATATCCAGTCTTCAACTGTCCAGTTTCAGTGCTCACTGTCGCCTCTTGTTCTTGTTCTTGGCTGACACGAGTGGACTCCGATGTGGTCTCCTGCTGTTGTTGCCTCAAGGTTTATTGTGCTGTGCGTTCTGAAATGCTATTCAGCTCAACACGGTTGTAAAGAGTGCTTATTTGAGTTACTGTAGCTTTCCTGTCAGCTCCAACCAGTCTGTCCTCGGACCTCTCATCAACAAAGCGTTTCCACCCACAGAACTGCCTCTCAATTGGTTTTTTGTTTTTTGCACCAGTCACAATTTCCCCCATTTTGATGTTTGATGTGAACACTAACTGAAGCTCTTGACTTGTATCTGCATGATTTTATGTACTGTGCATATCCACAGTGGCTGGGGTTGGTTTCTCGGCGGGGTAATGAACCCGGGCCACTGCAGTGAGAGCGCCGTGGCCTAACCACTAGTCCTCCAGGGACCCCAGACCAACTACTGTGTCTAATATTTCAACAGGAAACACCAACACAGCTCTGTGACTTTCAAGTCTTTATTCATAACAACTACAGAAAGGGTTTAATTGAAGCGGCAAACAATCGAGAGCAGAGCGGCTGAGGAAAAAGAGAGAAAAGGACGTGCTTGTGGAAACTGGAAAAGGTCAAAGGTGAAAGTCTTTCAATACAAAAGAGCAAACAGAGGTCCAGGTCCTTTCACAATAAAATTACCCTACGTTCATTTACGCATAAAAAAACCCCCACTGATCCTGCTTCGAGCAACATCAGTAGGAAAATCCCCAAAACCCAGAGAAGCGTTTATCAAGGCATCTTCGTATTGGTTACTCAAACATTGCCATCAAGCCACTGAGCAAAGCAATGCATGAATGCAACAATACTGACACTGAAGAAGAGCGCCAACTCTTTGGTACATGTATGTACAAAACACGAGACGGTTCCGTGACACCGCCGGCTCTGTGGTGAAGACGTTCACCTCTCTCACATCGCGCGTATGAAACTTTTTGCACACCGACAGTCCAACACATCCCAAGTTGTGCGCTGTTTTTTTTTGTTTTTTAAACATTTTTCAATTTTTTTTTTTTTTGTTACATATGACAAAGTGACACAGGCACAGCTGAAAATTCACATCTGTTTATACAGTAAATGTCCATTTACAGCCAGGCCATCACTGTCAGTCTAAATCATTCATACGTCTCCTGCAGCCTGCACTGTAAAACTATCCATAAAGAACCAAAAAAAAAAAAAAAAACAAACTAACCAACCTTTTTACAGCAGAGACAGGACATCTGTGCTTACTTCAGCCAAATAAGCATGGCTGTCTGTCAAAAAGACTGATTACGACTAAAGCAAATGTACAGAAACTTTTTTTTTTTTTTTTATACCTGTATTGTTAAACTGCTATTGTACCCTTCATACGAACACAAGCATGATGTTAGATGCTGTCGGCACACAGAAGAGAGGGGAAAAAAGCGTCAGAACGACAGGATACATCAAACTGCACCCGGTACATAAGAAAGGAACATTACAAGAAATAAATAGATATTACATCTGTTTGATTGGACCCCTTCATGTTCCATCACGAACCGATGTGTGCCATTTGACCAGACTGTTAGTCTTTATCAGAGGTGAGTATGTGTGTACGTTTTTTTGTTTTTTTTTTCCCCTTCAGCTACTACGATGTGATCCAGGCGTGGCGGAGGCACTCGGCAGCTGTAGCTCTTTTCTCGGGAATCAGATCCAGCATGGGGAGGAGGAAGCTGCTGAAGCTCTGCGCCTCCTCCCTCTGCCACTCGTACTTCTCCACCAGGACGTCCAAAAGCCCCCACGGCTTCAGCTTTGTGATGTGCCTCAGCTCACCTGGGTCACACACACACACACACACACACACACACACACACACACACACACACACACACACACACACACACAAAAATAACCTTCATAAATAAATCCAGTCACAAATGTGAATAAGGGCACTAAATGCATATTCATTATTTCACACTAATATGCATTCCACCAATATTGCAGGGGACATTCCTATTTGCTATGGTTGCTATGGTGATATGAACGACTTCTTAAAGCAAAATAAGTGTCTGAATTTCTTCCCTATTTACCAGAAAATGCACAATTTGGGGAGCAGTCTTGGAGAAGTAATATTCCCTGGACGATGTTCCCTGTATAGTTACACACAGTGCACCGTAAAGCCAGCCATTTCTTTCAGCTCTAAACTGACTTGTCAGGATAGATCCTAGATCCTGTGTTTAAATTTAAATTCTTTAAGTTTCTTTCAGCTACATGTTGGCTACCGGTACACTATAAACTGTCATCTACTGATAGTCACGCCACTGAGAATGATCCCTTACTTCAATCTTTACCTAATGACAGTGATGCAGCGGCACTTTAGTACATTAGCCTGTCCAGCTCTCGCTTCAGGGTGGAGTTTTCCTTTAAGAAACAACATTGCTTTTCTGCGGGTTTAAGGTTGCTAGATAATTTGTCATGTTTGAAACCTTTACGTAACAGCAGCTCATGATGATGTGTTTCCGAAGCACGCGTTAGCAAATGTTGTCTTTGTCACTCCAGAACGAGAAAGTGAGTGACGGGCCGATTTCAGACATGTCGATGCATACCTCATTCATCAAACCTAAATTTCACACAAGCTTGCTAAACACATTATGCACTCTTATCATGTAGGTGGCAAAGCCGTTATTGATGTGTGGAGAAACGAGAGGACACTGGCCAACCTTTCTTAGTGAAGAACTCCTTTGAATATTTGCCATTCATGATGAGTTTGCGAGGAACTTTGCCCAGCAGCTCAATGATCAGCGCAATGTGATCTGTTCATGGGAGAGAGAAAGTGGGGGGAAAAAATAAATAAGGAATACAGGTGAGGGAGAGTATTCAAAAATTTAAAATGCTGATGCACATCAAAAATTTCACTTCAGGCTCCTGTATAGGAATGTTGGACCACTCTTGCTCTTGGGATGGCTGAAGTGAGTAATCGTATTTTGATCGTGGTAGATTTAGAATCACGTTAGCTAGCTAGCTGGTAACAAGCATGCTGATTATTTTCCTCCAGTCTAGCACAAGATGGCCATTCATATATTCATGTAACTGTTGAACAACCTTTCAGTCTTTTCCCCAAAAATGTTGGATAATATTAATATAATAAAGAGCATCTTTTGATTCCAGGTGACGTTCACTGGGGGGGGGGACTGTTTTATTTTCATTTAAAATTCTAAAATGTCATAAAACTACTTATACATATGAATAATGATGATCATGATTCCCAACTAATCAAGATTATTATGCATCCCTAATACTAAGAATATATGTGGGTGTGCATGTGGGTGGCATCATGTGCATCATGATCTGTGGCATTCATCGTCACAAATAAAGATAAAATAAGACAAAATCGGATTGTCTCAGCCATAAAGGCAAGTGTAAATTCTACGCGAGGAGCATGTGCATCGTGCCCTCGCATGGCTCTCACTCAAGTGCTAATTAATAAGCACAATGCGGTTTAATATTTAACAGCACTCTGCCAGCAAAGCTAGCTATTATTCAGTGAAGAGGGATGGAGAGAGAATCAAAGCTATTCATTAGAGCTAATACTAAGGGGTGGTGTACGAGTATCGAAGACAAGACTGGGTCAGTGATGATTTATAATGAGCATGGGGATTGTGCTTTAAACAAGGAAGGGTGTTTATGGCAAAGAACTTTGTTAAAAGCTTGTGCAAATTATGGAAGTTTCAAGAAATGGAAGGATTTATTTATTTGTTTTGGTAAATGGAGAAGCAAATATTTACCTTCATCTCTGGAATAATCCTCTCCGGAATGCGGTTCAAACAAGTAATCCCCTGTGGCCAATTCAAACGCCTGGAAAAACACACATTCCATAAAGTATAAGTACGTGTATAGAGGTGTGTGTGTGTGCGTGTGCGCGTGTGTGTGTCCACTAAGATCAGGGATTTTCGGTGATCTTCACCAGTCTGAGGTCTGCGAGGTGTCAGTGTGCTGCACACTGGGCCTCCATTGTTTCAGTGTCGGATTAAAAATGCTGATGGAGCTGCAGGGTTTACCTCGCTCTGCTTTTATTATTAAAGATGCGCTGAGTAGGGACATTACATGAGAGGGCCAAGTGCCAAAGAGCAAGCAAGCCCAGTCAGCATCATTCTGACCGAAATCTGCTCCACTGAGCTTTCAGAGTTTGCCTAGAAAACATACATCATTTACATAATGCACAAACTATGGCCATATTTCTAAAGTATTTGTCAAACTGAATAAATCAGTTCCAATTATATTAATGCAGGAGATATAGTATGCGAGGAGAGACATTTAGTGCATATGTTACAGTAACAAGAATTGTTATTGTTACTCTTATGTCAAGTACAAGAAGCAGCTAGTGTTAGTTTCACCCTGCTAGTGTTGAACAAACCTTCAGTTGTCATAATTCTGCTTCAAAATATTCCACACGTATTCCCTATCCAACAATGCAAAAACATTGTTGTCTTCCAGTTTTTTTGCACCCAGTGTGTGTTGTGGTGTAAAATTGCAAGCAGAAAAAGTATGCATGGAATACAATTCATGGCAAGTAAGATAAAATGGACCAGTAATCTATAAAAATTATTTCAGACTAGCCTGTACTTTATTCCAATTACAGTTTATACTCAAGTTTTTCCATTCGGTCAAGTAGGTAATTGAACAGGAAACAAATAAGTGATTACAACTAAATCAGTGTTGGGAGAGAGTAGAAACAAATTAATTCTATTTATGTTACAGTGCTGTTGAATGTTCAAATCTGATGGGTCAGAAGGTGACTGAACAGTTGCAAAACATTAAACTTAACTACTAATGGATAAAAAGTACAAAATGTGACACACTCTAAGAAATACATTTTAGTCTTTGGTAAACTGCTGTGGAATAAATAGACTTTGGGACATGCTGTTATTGGAAAATAAGTGCTCGTTGATTATTTTCCCTATAACAGCACGCCCGGTCATGTTTAATTCCTTACCTATTTCATTTCCGCTTTTTTATCTTTCTAACTGCGCTTGTGTGAATGTGTGTGCGCCCACCATGCATGCTGTGCTCCAGATGTCTGCTGGTGTGCTGTAGCCTGAACCGATTAGCACCTCCAGAGAACGATACTGCCGTGTCTGGATATCATCCGTGAAGTGTTTGTGCTGAACAGAGTCACAAGAGAGAGAAAAAGAAGGGGGGGGGACGAAAAGAGCGAGAGACCTCATTCAGATTTAAGCACATGTACAGCCTGTATACTACTAAATGCCTGCACTTAAATCTAATACATGCTCTGAAAAAAGCAGCTAGAGTACCACGATTTTCAGCGCGAGGAAGATTTATGAAGAGGTTGCTTTTCTACTCACCACCCAGCAGGCGTTGCCCAGGTCAGCGATTTTCACCTGGATCGTGTCAGCGTTCAGTGGATCTAGCAGGTTCACCAACA